CCAGGTATGCCCTACCCTGAGAGGCCCCTAATGTGCAATAATATGAGTGAAGTGGAGCACAACTGTTCAAATAGCTGTCCGGCCACTTGCGAGGATCCGGGCAAACCTGTCTGTCGTAACAATTACTGTTGGAGGGGTTGTGAGTGCAGACCCGGGTATGTGAAGGAACACCAGAACTGGACCTGTATTCCCGTTGAACTCTGTCCGAGTGAGCCATTCAATGAATTTACTTTTACTAAAATATTTCCATTAATGGATGAGTTTATACGACTGCCCAGAGTGTGGTGTAAACGAGCATTTCCGTGACTGTGGCACCAACTGTGAGCCCACCTGCACCAACTACCAAAACACCCCTCCCTATTGCAACAACAAATACAACTGCAAAAGGGGCTGTTTCTGTGACTTCGGCTTCGTTAGGGATATGTCCCAAAACGGCACCTGTGTTCCCGTCGATAAGTGCCGTATGTTTAGACATTTTATTGTTAAAATTATATCTTGATAATTATCAGTAAATGTTTTTTAATCGTGAAATTTTAGCCCAAAAGTGCGGTCCGAACGAGTACTTCGAGGAGGCGGGTACTCCCTGTGTACGAACAGCAGCCAATCCTAGGCCTAAATGTCTGGACGAGCCGACAGTACCCGCCTGTGTCTGTAATACTGGTTTCAGACGAAATCAATCGACGGGACAATGCGAACAACTGTCCTCTCATGGTATACCCGGACTCTTATATAAATAGTCTTATTTGTTATTTATGTGAATTTAATTCATTGATTGATATATTAGTGGAGAGTTGTGGTGGGAATGAGACGTTCAGTCACTGCGGGACAGAATGTGCGCGAAAGTGCTTCGATGAGACCAAACGCCAGTTCTGTCCCACCATTTGCCTCAGGGGTTGCTTTTGCAACGAGGGGTACGTCCGCGACAGTCATAACCAGAAGTGTGTTTTGTCCACAGATTGCTACGTCTGGCGCCCAGAAAACCGTAAACGTCGGACACCTAATAATATACCAAATAGACTCTCACTTAGTGATGACTTTTATGCCTCCTAATAGACCCGTACCTATCAAACAAATTAGACATATTGATCATAAACCAACCACCTAGGTGGTTATTTTATAAACTGTTTTATTTATTACGTTAATTTTACAAACATTTTATTTGATTAATATTTATTGAAGAATTATATTATTTTTAAGATAAAATATTTCAGATCTTATATATAGATATTTATCATAAAATATTAAATATTGATTATAAGAGACTAATTAATTACAATTACTATGATTAACACTAAATAGAAATTAATTGTGTATTTATTTATTTTCATATAATAAACAGACAACGAATTATTAATCTGTCAGAAATAGTTAATAAAATATGTGGGTTACATTTTCATTAACATTTCATTTGAATAAAAACATATGTATTTATAAAATAATGTTGAAATGAAATTATGATGATGATATTAATTTAAATCAATTTGTTATTTAGAATCAATCAAATCTAATAATTTAATAAACACGGTAACAATAATTCCCAATAACTGTTTAAAATAGAAAATCAAATTTAGTATAAAAATATTTAGTAAAAGAGATAAAACAATGTTAGGCTAATAAAGTAGCCCTTTATTACTATAAAGTACCCAATAATACTTCATTGCCAGTTAATTATTTATTATAATAGCCAACATTACCGGTATATTAGGCAATGTTATACTGTAAACTCACTTCAGACACTCGGATGCCATTTATAAGGAAAAGTTTCCAACAGTGAAATCCTATTTCATTTTTACCACATTTCTCAGTAAATATCATTAGCTGTAAATTAATGTTAAAATAAGCAATAAGAAATATCATTAATTAAAATAAAATATAAAAGTAATTAATGAGCAAAACCTTTAACTTTGTCAAGAGATTTAAATTCTTGTCAATTGAAATCATATTGAGATGACTAATAATTTTGAAAGTCTTATTGGTCTCGTTGTACACATTAGTGGCAGAATATATTAATAAAGATAAATATTGGACACCAATTATGAGTATTGAAATGAACAATATATTGACCACAAGTCCGAGATCTCCAAAAAGGATTTGTATTAAATATCCGCCCAATAGTAGTGACATTGCGATCCAATTCAGAAACATATAAATCGACCAAAAGTTGTTTAGTTTCTCAAAATTGGTGTGATTTTTATCAATTAGTTTCAACGTATTTAAAAGTATTGTTTCAAATTGAGATACATTTTTGATATTTTTTAACGCCTTTAATCTTTGATTTATAATCTTAAACTCTAGTTTACAATCAAAGGATAAGATTATAAAATATAACATTTGAAATAAATACACGTCCACTGAGTACAAGGCGTAAAATGCATAGAATATACTCCAAGGGATGCCGTATATTATTACTTGTTTAAGAGTACAGGTGATGGACAGTGAGCCCAAGCATATGAGTATGAATCCTATGGGAAGGAATATTCTTGTTGTTCCGTATAATACATATAGAATTAATTTCGTTGATTTGTATACTACAGTAGAATTATTATATAGATTTTGACTTGTATTTAATGATAACCAATAATCATGATTGTTTCGTAGATGATACCAGTAATGGAGTAAATGTGTTCCCATCGGTAATATTAATGACAAACAAATTAAAACATTGAATTCAACTTTTAGTTTCCATTTGTATGCAAAATCTCCAATCATTATAGAAAAGTTGTCGTTATTTACAAATATTGAGCTCAAGTTTTTAACCATTAGAATAACAAATAATAGTGAAATTAATTTTGTATTAAATATTATATTTCTTTTCTTATCGCCAAAAGGTATGACAGAAATTCCTAAACGATACAACACTTGTCTTATTACCAATAAATGAGTTTTAGTCCATTTACTGGACTTCAATAGATTATGGTTTGAATACATTAGCATTATACTAGGATTTGCTTTACTTTTAAGTTTTATATTTGTTGTAAACCTTTTCATTGTGTTGTTTTTAACTAATATTTAGCTACTGGAAATTTATTGTTCAGTATACATTATTTTAATTAACTATACTATACTAATATTATGTTGCTATGCAATGTCAATATTTGTATTAATATTTACATTCAAATTTTATTAATTATAGTAAATCATGCATTAGGAATATTAATTAAATTAAACTTTCATTATTTAGGTATATTTTCAATTTATTTGCCAAACAAAAATTACAAACAAACTATTAAAATAGATAAATAGTCTGGAATACATTTATTATAATATTATAAATCAAATCTTAAAGTTTACAGAACCATTAATGTATGAAATATTAAAATTGCATTTATAATTAATTAAATTATATGCTTTAATGGAGTTTATTATTATTTAACATTAAAGAAAAATATGTTGTTTTTAAAATTATAAATGTTACCGGTATATTATATATAAATTCATTATTTATCTAGAATTTTATCAATAATTTTTCTATTTAATCACATATTTGTAATCTTATTTTTACAGAATATATTTGATTCTTAGTATTTAAATTCATATTTATCTTAAAATAAGCTAAAATGATGTTAAACTTGAAAATATAGTTGACACAAAATAATTTACTCTGAATTGTGATGATATGTCAGCGATTAATACAGTTGTGGTGCTGTCTCTGTCTCTATGTACTGCTGACTACAAGCCATTGCCATATGGATAGCATATAAACCAAAACACAATGAATTGCAGATCTAATTGAATGATAAACAAGAAACATAACACTCGGTTCACAACTGTATTGTCTCTGAAGCCAAACAAACTATAATTCTTAAGATTTATTTATGTAAACAATGCTTACCTTCAATGCTATTCCGCAAACACAGCTTACGATTAGTTTTAACTTTAAATCACTTCATATTTGCATTATTATATACAAAATATCTAAAACATAGCAAATAAAAACTATATTTAATAATATGTTACTATTTTATTAAACTTTATTTTAAATATGTCACTTATTCAGAATATATTCAATAAATTTTTAATAAATACTCTCTACTAGTTTTTATTAATAAAATAATTTTGTAATGATAAGTGAGATAGATGAATGTAAATTAAAAAATAATAATCTAATTCATAAATATTTTATTTATTAAATTTTTGGTCAATACAAAACTTAGTATTCAATATAGTTTTATAATAAACATTATTTAATCTGACTACATGCCATAGAGTAAATGTAAAAAATATGATTATCATTACTTACGGCACAAAAATACAAATTTAAAAATATTATACATATTAACAAGGTTCATCCGCTGCACCGATTTCTTGGTGTCCTGGCCTCAAAGGGGTGGTGACCGTAATGGCAGTAAAAATTAAAAGTAATTTCCATTCCATCTGTTATGTAACCTTGCTCATAAAGGTTTGCGATTATCNGACCGTAATGGCAGTAAAAATTAAAAGTAATTTCCATTCCATCTGTTATGTAACCTTGCTCATAAAGGTTTGCGATTATCGAGTACATGTATTGCTTATGCATAGGACACAGTGTATCAAACATTTTGATTAATTATAAAAATTTTTAATTATTATAAGAATTAAATAGTAACTATGGTGTTTCAGTTATTGTAATAAACACTTAGTTATGAAACACTTTGACTGTCTTATGGGTGAATGTGTGTAAATCAGGTCATAAACTGAGTCTAAGCCCCGATTCTGTGCAGATATTTAAGGAGTAGATTCTGAACAGACTTTTCCACTCAAACACACATTCTGTGACAGAATTAGTCTCGTTTTATATGAGGCCAAACACGTATAGCACCCGACCCTTAAGCACACGTCAGTTAAGTTCAATGTTTTTATTTTAACATTCAGATTTTTGTTTTGAATGTACAAATTATTTTTATCAAATATAATTAAATGTTTTATATGATTAAGTTTTATACTTAATTAACTGTAATAAATGACAACTAAACACTTCGTGTAAATTTATTTCTGTTTTCACTTGAATTTGTTTAGGCATTAAATCATTTGAAATTTTTGAAATAGTTTTATGTGTCTAATAATAAATAAAAATTTAAATTTGTATTTTACAAAATTGTAGCAAAATTATTATAGTTTTTTAATATTAAAAATTTATATTTAATTAACTCTGTGTCTTATAAGTATATTATTTTGTTTTTGTTATAATTTGATAAACATGTTTATTAGAGTTTAATTTCATGTTAAATATGTCAGTCTATGTCCAAAAATCCCAGACAACTTAGTATCGGAGCTCAGGTGCTATATTTAAAAATGGGTTGAAATTCAAAAACATTATACAGTATTAGTAAGAATTGGAATTATGCCAGAATTTATGCACAGAATTTTTCTCGACTCACATATTCTGTACTATTTTTTCAAAACAAAGTTTTCTTATTTTAAATATATTGACTCGAATTGAATGACAGTTTAATACTCCAATAATAATATATGGAGATTTTGTTGAGCTTTCTTAAAATAATAATAGCTATTTAAATGTTAT